GCAACAATAATAAAGCTTATGTTATTATCCTTGACACCTATTCAAAACCTTTTTAATTTTCCACTGTCTATAAGAGATACTATTTAACTATATAAAAGTCAGGTAATAAAATACATTTATCTCTTTCTAATCAGGCGGTGAGGCATAAACTGTTGGGGCATACCACTCGGGGCCACTGCTGTTTGGGATTAAAACACTGGCATTGCGATCTGTACGGAGAGCCGTCACATTCTTGCTCCTTTTCCCAGTCACTGCCCCAGCATTCTTGCTGTTCTCTTCTATTTAATATTTTGGCAGAGTCAGGGCTGTATTCCTTTCTATTTCTAGAGTATAAGTCTGATATCTACCACAAAATATTAAATTACTGAGTTTGAAACTATTTAGAGGAGGGATTCCCAACCCCTGGGCCATGAACAGGTATAGATCTGTGGCATGTTAGGGGCTGGGCCACACAGTAGGAGGTGAATGGCAGGTGAGCAAGTGAAATTTCATGTGTATTTACAGCCACTCCCATCGCTCACATGACCACCTGGGCTCTGCCTCCAGTCAGATCAGCGGTGGTGTTGGAGTTTCATAGGAGCATGAACACTATTGTGAACTGCGCATGTGAGGGATCTCGGTTGTGGGCTCCTTTTGAGAATATAATGCCTGATGATTTGTCACGATCTCCCATTACCTCCAGATGGGACCATCTGGTTGCAGGAAAACAAGCTCAAGGATCCTACTGAGTCTACATTATGGTGAGTTATGTAATTATTATGTCTTATTATGTAATAAAAATAGAAATAAAGTGCACAATAAATATAATGTGCTGGAATCATCCCAAAACCACCCTGCCCCCAGTCTGTGGAAAAATTGTCTTCAATGAAACTGGTCCCTGGTGCCAGAAAGATTGGAGACCACTGATTTAGAGTACTGTTACATCTCCTTTTACCCTCCACCACCTGCATCCGTAAAGGCAGTAATAGACACTAAATAATACGTTTGGAGTTGATGTTTTATGTTTTTATGTTTGACCTCCAAGCCGGCAAGTGTGTTATCCTTTCCATTATATAGTTAATACTAATCGGACATCTTTAGCGTTTTGATAATATGTGGAAATCAGATTCTCTTGCTTCTCAGGCTTCACTATCCCAGAGAAAAGGCAGACAAACAATCGTACTTTAAATTGTTACTGCACTCTAATCAAATCTGTTTTCTGTTTTCAGTGTTGTTAATTATATTTTAGTAGGTATCAATTCATCAAATAAGCAGTGCGATTTTAGCTTTTATTTTTATTTTTTTGAGACAGAGTCTCATTCTCTCGCCCAGGCTGGAGTGCAGTGGTGTGATCTCAGCTCACTGCAACCTCTGCCTCCCAGGTTCAAGTAATTCTCCTGCCTCAGCCTCCTGAGTAGCTGGGATTACAGGTGTGCACTACCACACCTGGCTAATTTTTTGTATTTTCAGTAGAGACAGGGTTTCCCCATATTGGCCAGGCTGATCTCAAACTCCTGATCTCAGTTAATCTGCCTGAGTCAGCCTCCCAAGATTCTGGGATTACCAAAATTCTGGGATTACTGCTGTGAGCCACTGTGCCCAGCCCTGATTTTACCTTTATATTAAGCATGTAGCTTACCCCTAAGTTTCTTTACCCCCAACCAGATTTTTATGCTTGAAAATGTTCCTGATTTCAAGATGGTATCCCCCTACTTTATTTCATAATTTTACTTGTGACTCAATAATTTGATTGGTTGGATAATGTTGCTAATGGAACCAGTGTCATTTTTTTTCTCTATATAAATTGGTTAACTTTGTTTTAATTCATTTAGCAATCTCTTTTGAGTGGCTACTGTGTGCCAGGCATGCACAAGTGCAGGGCAAAAAGTGCTGCGCAAACCAAACATGATCCCCCAAGCCTGGGAACAGGGCAAGATGAGCTCTCTCATCACTCCTGTTCAACACCAGAGTGGAAGTCCTAGCCGATGCAATCAAGCAAGCAAAGGAAATAAAAGGCATGTACAGTGGAGAGAAAGGACTATTTAGTTCACAGATGATGGGATAGTTTGCATAGAAAATTTCAAAGCTTCAACAGGAGAGCTACCAGAACTAATACGTGAACTTAGCAAGATGACAGGATACAGTTTCATTGTCTCATTTTATCTTTAAAGCAATCCCATGAATTTGCTACTATTATTTTTTGGAGGGAGGGGAGGGATGTAGGAAAACAGAAGCATAAACACAAAGGTTAAGCGAACTGTCTTAGATCTTACAACTAACAAGCAGCAAAGTTGGTACTCCAACCCAGAAATACATGACAAAAAATATTAATCACCATGCCAGGGCATTTTAAATTTGGTATGCTTAAAATGCAAAGTCTCAGCCCTTACCCAGAGATTGTGATTCAGATGGTGGAATAGGGGTAGGTCCTGGGGAGTTGTGTGTTCACAAGCACCCTGGGAGATTCTCATGCAAGCTGTTCAGAGAACCTGTCATTATATGGACTATATATTTCCTATGCACATACAGTATTGTATTCATATACTATTTCACACGGTACCTCTAACCCAGGAAAAATGATCTCTCAGTCGAAGCTCAGTGTGATAGAAACCAAACCAACCTTTTTCTGGTGGCATCAGTGGATTTAAAGAGAAGCTAAACAAATGTAGAAGGGCTGGTAGAATCCACATTTGAGAAAGCAAGGAAGAAAAGCCAGCATTTCAAAGGACTGATCCTTCTGTGAGACCCACAACTGAGTTTTTTTTTTTTTTTTTTTTTTTTTTTGACATGGGGTCTTGCTTTGTTACCCAGGCTAGAGTGCAGTGGCGCAATCTTGGCTCACTGCAACCCCCAGGCTCAAGCAATGCTCCTGCCTCAGCCTCCCAAGTAGCTGGGATTACAGGGGGCCACCACTGCATCCAGCTAATTGAGGGCAAGTTCTAGCAAAGAACCTTGCAGAGAATCCCACAGCCCATTGCAGCAGAGGGGATCCCAGCAGAAGCCAAAACACTGGTGGTCTAGAGAGAAAGGGGAACTCGAAGAGTGAGTTCAGGGGTTCAATGAGGGTACTAGGGGATAAGACTATGGAACTGTGTATTTAGAACTCAGACAGCTAGTGAAGGATCCATAAAGATGAGGGAAGGGCCAGGTGCAGAGGCTTTTGCCTGCAATCTCAGCAATGTGGGAGGCCAAGCAGGGAGGACCACTTGAGCTCAGGAGTTTGAGACTAGCCTGGGCAATATAGTGAGACCCCCATCTCTGATTTAAAAAATACTAAAGGATATTAAATAAAAAGATGAGGGAGGGATTGGGATTGGAGCGTGCATTGCCCATTTTATTTTATTTTTGTAATCATAATTATTAACCATTCCTGGACTGAGCATTTTCCACGTGCCAGGAATGTTGTTAGGTACCTCACATGCGCTGTGATGTGGAATCTTCAGAGCAACTCCCCGAGGGAGGACTGTTCATCATCACCCGACAATGAATCTGACCAGTGAAGTTGAGTGGACCATGAAAGAGACTCAGGACCACAAGATAGCAAAGCTGCAAGGAATTTTAGAGATGATTTAGTCCAAGGGTATATACTGTGCTTTAGTTTTAAAAGGGACAGAAAGGGCTGGGTGCAGTGGCTCATACCTGTAATCCCAGCACTTTGGGAGGCCAAAGCAGGGGGATCACTTGAGCCCAGGAGTTCAAGGTTACGGTGAGCTATGATTGCATCACTGTACTCCAGCCTGAGCAAAGGAAAGAGACTCTGTTAAAAAAAAAAAAAAAAAAAAAGAGGGAGAGAGAGAAGAAAAGGCAAAGCATTCCTGGAAGGAGAGCAGCTGTGTGGGTGGTTTCTCAACAATGAGGAAATGGGATAGTTTGGGACAGGGGCGTGTGCTACAGGCTTTGGAGATGAGACAGTGGGGTCAGGGCTCCTCAAAGCTGGAGCAGTCAGAGTCACCGCTAGAGCAGTGACGGGGCTGCCTTGATCATAACTGCACAATGAGCTTCTCTAGGGCACTGCATTGTTTCCAACCTACTTTTTGTTTCAAGTATAGTAGTTTCTCACAACTAATCTCTGAGAAGGTCTTTCAGTTGAATTCTTTTGGTAGAATCTAAGAAAAATCAGCTTAAACTAGCCTACGCTGAAAAGAGGGATTTATTATGAAGACATAGTATGTTCCACAGAACCCAAGACAAAGGCAAAGTGGCCTCAGGAAGGGACTGGTACTAGAGACTCAGCTGTTGTCAGGACTCGCCCTGCATCTCTAATCATTCTCCCCCTGACCTCCTGCCTGGCATCTTCTGCTTGTCTGGTCCAGATGGGAGTAGAAAATGCCCAACCCATAGCTTCTGAGCTTAGATATTAGGTCTCTTTTCCCCTCAGGTCTATATGTCAACATGAGACTCGTGAGTGGTCCAGCTGGGATCAGCTTCCCATGCTGATGCAATCAGATGAGTCAGGGGCTGGGGTCATGTTGTCCATCATGACTACTGGGTGTCCCAGGGAGAAGTGGCCAAGCAGAAAACTGAACAGATGTCTTATACATGGCAGCCTGCTCTGTAACACACGTATACATCATCCCGTATGTACAAATTTTCAAATATGCCTCTGCCTAACAAGGCTCAACTACTCCAGCTACAATCCCAAATGTACTCATCTCTACTAAAAATACAAAAATTAGCTGGGTGTGGTGGTGGGCTTCTGTAGTAGCAGTTAATCAGGAGGCCAAGGCAGGAAAATCACTTGAACCTGTGAGGTGGGGGTTGCAGTGAGCCAAGATTGCACTACTGCACTCCAGCCTGGGTGACAGAGTGAGACTCCATCTCAAAAAAAAAAAAAAAAAAAAAAAAAAAAAGAAAGACAGGGGAAATTAGTTTTGAATGTATTTTGTTTAACTTAACGTATCCAAGACATTATTATTATTGCAACATGTAATTAATATAAAACTAGCAATAAGATATCTTACATTTTTTTTTCCTGACTAGGTTTTCAAAATTCTGTGTGTCTGCATGTGCTTCCTCTTCTCTCTGCATCTTGTGGTGAGTTGTTCTTGGACTGGGGCACAGCTGCACATACCAGGGGGTTGTGTTCTGCTAGAGGGACCTGCCCAGGATCTCTGCTTTCATAGGGAAGGGTGGCTTTGCCCAGAAGAATAAGTACCTTGGGCTCGATTGCCTGGCACCCTTCCACTAAGTGTCAGATATTCAGAGGCCATGTGCCTGTCCCGGCTTAATCAGTTGGCAGAGGCCCTCTGTCTGGCACCTGGAGACCCTCGTCGTGCCTTTTCCCATGGGAAGTTGAATTCAGGCACAACCCCTTTCTCTGGCAGTTGTGTGTGTGGAGGGGCTGGCCTGGCAGGGCTGAGTCCTTGAACCTCACTACCTATTGCCAGAAAATAGAAGCATGGAAAAGTACTCATAGTCACCCATTGGGCAGGCCTGCACTTCTGCACAGCTGAAAATGGTAGAAATGGGATGTTAGGTCTCTCTAATTCTAGAACCAGTTCTCTCAGCTACATATTCTTCTCCTCCTTCCCATGGGAAGAGGCACAGCCAGCATCTCTGGGTGCCAGACAGAGGGCCTTTCTCAACTGATTGAGCCAGGGTGGGCACCTGACCTTGGAACATCTGGCATCTGGTGCAGGACGCCTTTGTTTTTCTGGTCCAGTGCCCATCCCATAGCATCTGAGCTTAGATATTAGGTCCTTTTCTCCCAGGTCTATATGTCAGCAAAAGAGAGCCTGAGTGGTCTAGTGTGGGTCAGGTGCTCATGCTGATGCAATCAGATGAGTCAGGGGATGGGATCATGTTGTCACCATGACTACTGGGCGTGACAGGTGGTGACCCTATCATCACCTATGGTGGACTGAGACAGGGATCGCTTTGGAAGGCAGTCCCCACTTGGACTGAGGTAGGGTAGCAGGCAGGCAGGGGCAAGATCAGGGGCAGGCCAGGAATTGGGACAATCAGGATGTGGTCCACATGGCCAAGGTAAAGACAGGAGCTTCAGGAAGAGCCTTCAGGTGTGACCAGACCTGAGGTGGAGGCCATGGCCAGGCTGCTCACAGGGAGACCTGTTTTGGACGGAGAATAACTGTTAAGTTGTTTGTTTTTCAGTGAACTGCCTCACCCAAGAATGTTCCAGTCATGTCTTAAAAGGCTTAGCCCCTCCAGAGAGGGTCTGGTTTCCCTGAGTCAGTGATTTTGTCGCCTTCTGTCTAAGAATCCTGCCAGTTTGTCTCCAAAAGAGTGTTTGCCCTTAGGGTGGATGGTGGCTCAGCTGGCTCTGGCCTGAGACTCAGTCCTCTTAGGCTTTGGTTCAGTAACTTTCCAATTCCCTCCCACAGCACTGGGACCACAGATGGGCATTTGGCTTAAACCTGACACTAACCCCATTGGCTCCATCACCAGAGCTGTCCGCACACAACAGGTATCCATGCACGTTGCCATCCAATAGCTCTTATCTTGGGGTGGCTTGGCTGTCAACCAGACCAGGGGAGCTGATTTCTGCAGGCCTCATCTCAGAAGCAAAGAACAGCATCTGGCTTTGCTCCAGTGTTTTCCAAAGACTCCAGTAAGTGCCTGATATGGTTTGGCTCTGTCACCAGCCAGATCTTATCTTGAATTCCCACGTGTTGTGGGAGGGACCCGGAGGAGGTAATTGAATCATGGGGGCAAGTCTCTCCCGTGCTGTTTTTGTGATAGTGAATAAGTCTCATGAGATCTGATGGATTTATGAAGAGGAGTTTCCCTGAACAAGTTCCCTCTCTTTGCCTGCTGCCATTCAAGACATGACTTGCTCCTTCTTGCCTTCTGCCATGATTGTGAGGCCTCCCCAGCCATATGGAACTATAAGTCCATTAAACCTGTTTCTTTTGTAAACTGCGCAGTTTTGAGTATGTCTTTATCAATGGTGTGAGAATAGACAGTTTCTTTAAAACATGTTTACAATGATGTTTTGAGTGTGTTCACACCTCTCTTTGATGAATCCATGCAGAACATTTAGCACAAATCTCAACAGTTATGTAGATTAAGAACACGTTAGATTGATATCCCAGTTTCAATTCAAATAACAGCACAAGTTTATTTGGCTTGATTTCCCTAGGGTTTACCTTTTTCCCACAAAATTTCATATATTTGAATGTGTACATTTAAATATATGAAATATACAGTTTCCAAAATAGCATAATAGTCATTACAGAGAAGGTTGATTGTGTTTTCTGAACAAAAAGTGCAATCTTTGCTACTTTGTAGAGTCAGTCTGGGAGGTATAATTGGAGGCAGAAATATTTGTTTGGGCTCGTCTATAAAAAGATCATGGAAGAGATTATTTGAATTGTGGGTGCCCCAAAAGTACATTCAGGGCATTCAATGGCGATTCTGGCATCCATTGAGTCCAACCTTCACCACACCTTTCGTGTGTTATCTGGCAGAAGCAGACTCAGTAACAATGTAGAAGGCTTAGCCAGTGACATTCTTTCTTGCCATAGTAATCCCTACTTTCTTCTTATTGTTCTCAGAGTTCCAGTGGAGAAGATTGGGCATGGCAGTGAAAGAGCTCAAACAGGTGAAGGGCCAGGAGGTAAGGCAGGATGTATATAAAGTTCCTGGACAAACGATAATTAGTAATACAAATAAGAACAAGCACAGCAACAGGTAGTACTTACTACTTATATGCTGTGTGCCACACTATGCTGGGTGCTTGACATGGGTTACCTCACTCATTCATTCATCCAATTATTCAGCAGTTACTAATGTGTCAAGTAGCATTCCAGGTACCAAGGGCACAGCAATGAATAAAGGAAAGTCCTTGCTCTTGTGGAATTTGCTTCTAGGAGGGAGTTGGTTAACAAACGAATACATACATAAAGCCAAGGAGATGAGTGCTAAGAAGGAAAATAAATCTGGGCATGAGAGAGGGGGCCAGGGGGTCCCAGAGGAGGTCACTCTGTTGAGTAGGTATCTGTCTGCTTTGCAGGCAGTCAGCAACAGGCCCTGAGCCTGGGAAGGGCTTCACAATGCATGGTAGGGGACCAGGGCCAGATCCCGGTGAAATGGAGAAGCCACTAGAGACTGTTGAGCAGGGACATATTTTGACATTGTCTTTGAAGGAATTGCTTTGCCTGCTTGGTTGAGAAGAGACTGGGGAAGGGATGAGAGGAGGCAGGGAGGTTGATTCACAGGTTACTGCAATAGTTGAGGAAGAGATGATGATGGCCTGAAGCTTGAGCTAAAACTGGAGGAGGTGAGAAATGGTGGGTTTTGGATCTTCTCTGGAGTTATAATGGCAGCAGAATAGCTGATGGACTTGAATGTGGTGTGAGAGCAAGAGAAGAGTCAAGGATGTCATCTAAGTTTTTGGCTGGAGCTCAAACTAGGGGTAACATTTCCTGACATGAATGCCTGAGGGAGGAGCTGGTCTGGAGATGGAAAAGCATTTGGAGTGGATATACTGCCTTTGTGCTGCTCACTAGACATCAGGTGGGGATGTCATAGACAGAGCTGAGTGCATAAACTGGTCTGGAGCTCAGAGGGGAGGCTGGAGATTGAGATTTAGGAGCCATCAGCAGATACATGGTCCCTGAGGTCAGAGGCCTAGATGACCAACAAAGGACGGAGAAGACGTGAGGTCCAAGAACCAACTTCCATAGGAAAGGGACAGATGCTGAGGGGAGCTGAGGGAGGTAGGAGGAAATCAGAGAGAGTGCTTATTTTGATGGCAAATGGAGCAAGTGTGCTAACAAGCTGAGTATGAAGAGTTCTGAGAATTGACCACAAGGTTTGGCAATGTGGTTTTCATTTGTCTCAAAACCATATGTGGTGGATGCTGTTATTTTCCTCATTTTTCTCTGTTTTCTTTTGAGATGGAGTCTTGTTCTGTCACCCACGCTGGAGTGCAACCTCCGCCTCCCAGGTTCAAGCAATTCTGCTGCCTCAGCCTCCCAAGTAGCTAGGATTACAAGTGGCTACCACCACGCCTAGCTAATTTTTCTGTATTTTTGGTAGAGACAGGTTTTCACCATGTTGGCCAGGCTGGTTTCAAACTTCTGACCTCAGGTGATCCACTCGCCTTGTCCTCCCGAAGTGCTAAAATTACAGGTGTGAGCCACCACACCTGGCCATTTTCCTTATTTTTCAAAGGAGGAAGCCAAGACTTAGAAAGGCTTAAGTAACTTGCCTGGTTGGAAAACAGTATGGAGGCTCCTCAAAAAATTAAGAATAGAACTACCATATGATCCAGCACCCCTACCACTGGGTATCTATCTGAAGGAAGTACAATCAGTATATCAAAGAGATGTCTATATGCTCATGTTCATTGCAGCATTATTTATAATAGCTAAGATATGAAATCAACCAAAGTGTCCATCAATGGATGAAGGACTAAAGAAAGCATGGTATAAGAATGCCATGGAATACTATTCAGCCTTAAAAAAGAAGAACATCTCATTATTTGCTACAACATGGATGAACCTGGAGAATGCTATATTAAGTGAAGTAAGTCCAGCATGGAAAGACAAATACCACATGATCTCACTTATACGTGAAATGCAAACAAGTCAGTCATAGAAATAGAGAGTAGAATGGTGGTTACCATTGTGGGGAAGACTAGGAAGATGTTGGTCAAAGGACACAAAGCTCTTCACTTGGATGGGAAGAATAAAATAAGTTCAGCAAATCCATTGTACATCATGGTGACTGCAGTTAACATATATAGTATGTAAGAGAGTAGATTTTAAATGTTTTCACCACAAAAAAGGAAGTAAGGTAATGTGTATATATATATTTTTATTTTATTTTATTTTATTTTATTTGAGACAGAGTCTCATTCTGTTGCCCAGGCTGGAGTGCAGTGGCATGATCTCGGCTCACTGCAACCTCAGTCTTCCAGGTTCAAGCACTTCTTCTGCCTCAGCCTCACAAGTAGCTGGAACCAAAGGCTTGCACCATCATTCCTGGCTCATTTTTGTATTTTCAGTAGAAACAGGGTTTCACCGTGTTGTCCAGGCTGACCTTGAACTCCTGGCTTCAAGTGATCTGCCCGCCTTGGCCTCCCAAAGTGCTGAGATTACAGGCATGAGCCACCGTGTTCAGCCTGGTAATACATATGTTAAATAGTGTGATTTAGCATTCCACAATGTATGCATGTATCAGCATTGTACATCATAAATATATACAATTTTTACTTGTCAATTAAGAAAAGAAAAACAAACCCAGCAACTTGCCTGGGCCCACACCAAGTGACAGAGCCAGGATTCACACCCAGGGTCTCTAACCATAGAGGCTGCCAGCTTCATGCCCAGGGCTACCCTGGAGATACACATTTCCGTTCCTACTAAGTGTTGTGGAGCCCCGGCTTTTTACCTCCGCTCCCAGGTAAACAGCAGCAGTGCTCCAGAGAGGATTACTGGGGAAGGAGCCTCACTTGCTTCACCTCCATTTGCAGGGTGATATATTCCTGCCAAATTTTCAGAGAGAATGATTCAAAATGAGGCCAGAGAGAGGATAATGGAGAGTGTTTAGGAGAAGCCTGCCTTATCGCTTATCTTCGGTTTTAGCTCATGATTGCTTTAAAAATTTCTTATTGGCATGAGAGAGAGAGAGGAAAAGAAGACTGAAAATAAGAATTGTTTACACCAAAAAAATGTAATGGGAGATTTGTAGGCTTTTCTGCCAGATTGCAGGCTAAAAAACAGATTTGTGGGTGAAACCTAAGCTTTTCGTGCTTGTTCTTTCTCATTTCATCTCTTGTATGCTTAATGCACATTAAAGAAAAGCTAATTAGGCTACGATAGGAGCAGCACAGATAATCCTCATTCCTAAACAGTGTTATCTATTCACTGCAAAATATTTGCATGAAAAGGAATTTTCTTTTTTTTGAGGAAAAGAAGGTAGCAAATGAACCACCCTACTTTATGTATATTAGTTTCTGACTGTGCGTTCTTAAAATGTCTCAATACCCTAAACATAGATTTTCAAATCTGGGTTCCCCAATCCAAAGCCAAATGGATTGAGAGCACAGGTTTATTGGTCCTTGGTGCCAATACAGTTTTCTAGATGATAGTTATAAAACAAAAGATTCCTTTTTGTTTGTTTGTTTTTGAAACAGAGTCTCCCTCTGTCACCCGGGCTGAAGTGCAGTGGTGCAGTCTCCGCTTAAACCTCCGTCTTAAACCTCCATCTACTGGGCTTAAGTGACTATCTCACCTTAGTCTCCCAAATAGTTGGAACCACAGGTGCATGCCACAACTCCTGGCTAGTTTGTATTTTTGGTAGAGACGAGGTTTCTCCATGTTGCACAGGCTGGTTTCAAACTCCTGAGCCCAAATGATCCACCCACCTCTGCCTCCCAAAATGCTGGGGTTATAAGTGTGAGCCACCACGCCTGTTGAGATTCTTAATTTCAGCGTCGTTCATTTCCTAGGGCATCCACAAGAAGTTACCAAAACCTGGGTGGCTTAAAACAACAAGATTTCAGTCTCTCGTCATCTGGAGGCTTGAAGTCTAGAATCAAGGAAACAGCAGGGCTGTGCCCCCTCTGAAGGCTCCAGAAGAGAATCTTTCTTTGCTTCTTCCAGCATCTGGTGGTTGTAGGCATTCCCTGGCTTGTGGCAGTGTAAATCCCATCTCTGCTTCTGTCTATATATGGTTTCTCCCCTGTATCTCTGTGTGTTAAATCTGTCTCTGGGTTTCTCTGATGAGGACACTGTGATTAGATTTAGGGCCCACTTTAAATCCAGGATGATCTCATTTTGAGATCATTAATTATGTCTGCAAACGCCATTTTCCAAATAAGATCACATTCACAAGTTTTGATGCTTAGGATTTGAATATATGTTTTGAGGTCACCATATTTTGGGGACATATATTTATGGATCCCATAGTGACCCATAGTGGATCACCATCCCACTCACTATACCATGTTACCCCTGAAGGTGGTGGGAAGGAATTAGAGGTTTGGGGTATGGTCTTCCTCTGATGTCCACATCTTAAGTGTTTGCACACAACGCCACATTCAGGAGAATATCATAAACATGTGTAAGTCGTCTATAGAAACAAATAGAGGATGAGGTAGTTCACTTTGTGGTGTCTCCTTGCAGGTGTCTAGGGCCACAGCAGAGTGGAAAGAGAATGTCTGAATCAGACACACCTGGGTGGAAACTCACTCTACCAATGACTAGCTGCAAGACCTTGGTGATTATCCTTAACCTACTGTCAGCCTGAACGTGTGAAAAGTGGGTCCTAATCCTGACCTCAGAATGTCCTGTTCCTGGGAAATCAGAGGTGCCACATGTGAAGTCCCTTGCACAATGCCTCCATGATTCCACAAATGTCAGTGCCTCCCTTCTCTCTGTGCTGAGCCAGGATGACTATCTTCCCTCCTGGTGCCGTTCAGCATTCATTTTTTCACCCTTGGAGCTTCACAGCTATGGGAAGAAGTGGGAGCCCTGGTCTGGTTCCTCCTATCTTAGGCCAGCGAGTCTGCTCGAGCCCTCTGTTCCACTTATGCAGTCCTGCCTCTTTGGCTGCCTCTGTCTCTTGCCCAGAGACAGTAGTAGCTTTTCTCATCTGTTCATTAGGACCCCCTTGTATTCAACCTATCTACTTTGTAAGGCATCCAGTAGCCTTGCCAGGAATACAAGGATGAGTCCCATAGTCCTTGTCTGTGGGATGGGACCCTGTGGATGACTTCTGGTATCTCTGAACTAGTTCCTGAGGGGATCCGAAGCTAGGCTTGGGCGGCTGTGTGTGAAATGGATTTAAAGGGCAAAGAATTGGAAGCAGCAAGGAGTAGGCCTGTCTGGCAGTTTAGGAACTGTGGACTGAACGAGGGTGCTGGTAACGGGAATGGAAAAGAAGGGTCTGGAAATCGGAGCCACAGGTTCTGCGGTTGGTTGGTGCTGGGCCACAGGCTATCTGAGTGGTGCAGGTGGGACCATCTTCTCAGCCGTGGAGAATGGTGGGCTGCTCGGCTTGAGGAAGGAGCCCTGGACTGATTGTGTGTGAACCCAGCGGGTCCCCTAATGTTCCGAGTTCCAGTTTTCTCCTCTGTAAAAAGTAATAATAATACCAAGAACAAGAAGAATAAAACAAACAAAAAGCTCCAGAAATTACAGGTTGTTTGGAAATATAACTAAGTAACATGGGCCTAGAGCCAAGTAAATGTTTCTAAACTCCATTGTTCTATTGTAACATAATATAGGGTAATTTTAAGTCAGAGGCCTCTAGGGCAGAGCTGTTCTCTCTGTTCCATCACTACTATCCTTTAAGACATATAGAGGAGCAATGAATGGGATCAAATGAAGGAAAAGTAATTTCACATCAGAACAAAGGCTCTGACGCTGGTCATATCCAGTCGAATTGTTGACTTTTTTCACCGAAAATCAGGCTGGGGCAGTGCTTCCCAAACCCTAATGGATTTCCCAGTCCTCTGAGGATCTTGTTAAAATTCAGACTGATTCAGCCACTGTTGGTCAGGGCCCAAAATTCTGCATTTCTAGCAAATTCCCAGGTGACGCCAATATTGCAGCTTAGAGGACCACACTGTGAGTGGCAGGAGCGAGGCAGCACTCGGGATTCAGTCATTCAAATACTCTATGCCCAGGATTTCTTGAAAAATATCAGCTGCAACTTCTCTCTCCTTTTTCACTGAAAGCTTGTCTTTTTTTTTTGAGACAGAGTCTCTCTGTGTCACCCAGGCTGGGGTGCAGTGGCACCATGTTGGCTCACTGCAACCTCCGCTTCCCAAGTTCAAGTGATTCTCCTGCCTCTGCCTCCTGAGTAGCTGGGACTGCAGGTGTGTGCCACCACGCCTGGCTAACTTTTGTATTTTTAGTAGAGACGGGGTTTCACCATGTTGTGCAGGCTGGTCTCAAACTCCTGACCTCAAGTGAGCTGCCTGCTTCAGCTTCCCAAGGTGCTGGGGTTATAGGCATGAGCTACCACACCTGGTGTCATCTTCTTCAGGTCAGAAGTGACAGAGAAGAATTTCCTTAGGGCAACTCATGTAGAATAGAGCCAGGGAGGCAAAGGAAAATTACTGCTTTGAGGAAAGCCATTTCTTCAAGCAGTTAATGTGGTGACCCAGGATAACAGAAGGAAGTTTAGTGTGCCAGACTTTAATCTGCACATTTTAGGCATGGCAGGATGCTTGGTCTGATTCTTAACTGAAAGCCTAATTGAAAATTTTGTTTTGTTTTAGTGTTATGTCCTGTAAGATTTTACTCAGACTCCACCTCCTCTGAGAGGCCTCTCTTTTTCTATTTTCTTTTCCTAACTCTCTATAACAGGGCCCCCAGTCCCCAGGACTGTGGACCTGTACTGGTCTGTGGCCGGCTAAGAACTGGCCTGCCCAGCAGGAGGTGAGTGGCAGGCAAGTGAGCATTACCGCCTGAGCTGCGCCTCATGTTAGATCAGCAGTGGCATTAGATTCTCATCGGAGTGCAAACCCTATTGTGAACCGCGCATGCGAGAGATGCAGGCTGCATGCTTCTTATGAGAATCTAACTAATGCCTGATGATCCGAGGTGGAATAGTTTTATTCTGAAACCCGCCTCCCCTACTCCATCCATGGAAAATTGTCTTCCATGAAATCGGATCCTGGTGCCAAAAAGGTTGGGGACCACTGCTCTATAATCTCCCTGGCCTCCAGTATCTGCGTCTATCCTAATTCTGGCTTCCCTGTATCTGGCCACCCTTTTGTGGGTCCCTTTCAGAGCATTATCTCCTTGAAGGCAAAACAGAGACTCTAGACCCTGTAGTCAGGGGTCTTAGAAAATGTCTGGCGTTTTCATAGACACTCCTGGTCTAGTAACAGTTATATTAATAGTTATAAATTTGTTGAAGCAAAGACCCTTTGCTAATCCACATTTAATCCTAACAACTTGGTGAATTTTTGCTCTCTCTCCATTTTGCAGACATGGCAATGGCAGCTTAGAGAGGTTCAGCTACTTGGGTCACCCCTTGTCGGCTGGGGGAGCTGAACCTTGGATGCAGGGGTATTTGTCTCCACTGTCTGAACTCTTCCTAACTGTTTGGAATGACAGAATGAGGAAATGCACCCAAGGTGAATTTTATGTTGACTATTACCTGCAAAATGTCGGTGGCTGATCCCAGCTTTAGCTGACCATCCTGATATCCAGAGCAATGGTTCCCAAATTTTGGTCCATGGTCTAGTGCTAGCTTAGGACCAAGGACTTACCAGTCTTTGATGTGAGGAAAATAAGGACATAAAATTGGTCGGGCGAGGTGGCTCACGCCTGTAATCCCAGCATTGGGAGGCCAAGGCAGGTGGATCATGAGGTAAGGAATTCGAGACCAGCCTGACCAATATGGTGATGGTCTCTATTAAAAATACAAAAATTAGCTGGGCATGGTGGTGCGTACCTGTAATCCCAGCTACTCAGGAGGCCAAGGCAGGAGAATCACTTGAACCCGGGAGGTAGAGGTTGCAGTAAGCTGAGATTGTGCCACTGCACTCCAGCCTGGGCAACAGAGTGAAACTCTGTCTCAAAAATAAGTAAATAAATAAATGAAATAATGGTGATAAGAACTTGTAGTTTTTTTTTTGTTTGTTTTTTTTAGGTGCTCTTACTTGGCAAAATAAACTGATTATTCTGAATTGAAATTCCACTTTATTTAGATTGCTGTGGAATCCCAATTCCTGAGGATGATTGCTGTGAAAGTTCTGGGCCTTTGGGAGCAAATAGGGAGGTGCCTTTAATGGGTGATTTTAGTGGAGACTGCAATAAAAATTCCTACTCATAAATATCACCCTTTCCATTGTGCCCAGCTTACTTTGAGTAGCCCTGGATAATAGGACCTAAAATTCATGAAAGGACCACCCCTTTTATTTGAGCAAAATGATTGAGGGCTTTGTCTTTGAAAAAAATGTGTTCTAATGGGCACCCTGCTAGGGTGACTTGATGGGAAGAGAGAGGATGTGGGTGTCGTGTGCCTTTCTCCCACCAGTTTATTATCTCAGTCCCTGTGGGCTGCTCTAACAAGATACATAGACTGAGTGCTTTGACACAACAGAAATTTATTTCCCATTGTTCTGGAGGCTAGGAAGTTCAAGATCAAAGTGCCCATAGATTTGGTGTTTGGTGAGGGTTTGTTCTCCTCCTCAAAGATGGTGCCTTCTTGCAGTGTCCACATGGCAGGAGAGGTGAACAGCTTCCCTCAGGCCTTATTTTTTTAAGACAGAATTTCACTTTTGTAGCCCAGGCTGCAGGGCAATGGCATGATCTCAGCTCACTGCCACCTCTGCCTCCCAGGTTCAAGTGGTTCTCCTGCCTCAGCCTCCCAAGTAGCTGTGATTACAGGTATGCACCACCACACCCAGCTAATTTTGTATTTTTAGTAGAGATGGGGTTTTACCTGTTGGTCAGGCTGGTCTTGAACTCCTGACCTCAGGTGGTCTGCCTGCCTTGGCTTCCCAAAGTGCTGGGATTACAGATGTGAGTCACCATGCCCGGCCAAGACTTTTCTTCATAAGGGCCCCAATCTCATTCCTGAAGGTGGAGCCCTCATGATGGCATCATCTCCCAAAGACCTCACTTTCTAATGCCATCAACTTGGGGATTAGGTTTCAACATATGAATTCTGGGGGGACATAAACATTCAGGCCATAGAACACAGGCGACTTAATTTTCTGGGAAATGTTAGGAGACACTGGGGCAGCTGGAATTTCTGGGTAGGGGATGGATAGGAAGTGAGGAGGGGGTCGGGTGTGAGAAGACAGAGCAATGCCTAGCTGAGAGAACAGGGGTAGGGAAAGAAAGTCTTACAGGAAGGGGATGCACAGAGTGACATTCAACAAGGATGGGGAGGCCAGATTTTACCTGTTGATCTCCCTTGAAGCAAAAACCCAAACCAAAATAAACACGAAAACCAAAAAGCAAAACTCCCACGATGTCATCAGAAATGGGCCATTTCCACATGGAGTGGCCGATGAGCTGATGGAATTCTTATAGTTTCTCTATTTTAGGAAGAAGAGAGTGTGAGGGATGTCTTTCTCACTGTGTTCATATCATTGTCTGATGATTAGAATGACTGACATGATAAATACAGGTAATTGCAATCTTTTTCTTATGCACATTTCACAACATTCGGCCCTACACAACAGAATTAATCTTGCACTCATGACTGCCAAGAGAATATCCTTGTATGGCGGGCACAGTGGCTCATGCCTGCAATCCCAGCACTTTGGGAGGCCAAGGCAGGTGGATCACCTGAGGTCAGGTGTTTGAGACCAGCCTTGCCAACATGGTGAAACCATGTCTCTACTAAATATACAAAAATTAGCTGGGTGTAGTGGTGGGCATCTGTAATCCCAGCTACTCAGGTGGCTGAGGCAGAATTGCTTGACCCTAGGAAGTGGAGGTTGCAGTGAGCCAAGATCACACCATTGTACTCAGCCTGGGTGACAAGAATGAAACAACACCTCAGAAAAAAAAAAAATCCTTGTATAGTGCAGTAGATCACAGGGTATAATGTAGTTATGCACGTACCATGAGCCCAGGAAGGGCTTAGTGTGTGGCTCACCTCATCTTTATTGCCCCCTGGGTGAGCTGTGAATCATTGTACCCAAGAAACTCTGACACACTTTCTAGCAAGCAGTATGCACCACCACGATAGTATAACTACCATTCACTGCTAAGCAGTGCACAAATTAAAAAAGAAACAGCTGCCTTTATGGAGTAACAAGCTTTAGAGCAACTGCAGATTGTATGAGATTATAGCAACTGAAACGATCTTGCCATGTACTGGGCTTATGATGTCTGTTGTATAGTGGCTTTTTTTCTGAGCCAAATAAAGTTGATATTAGCAATAGTCAAGTATCAAATCTGGTGGCATTTCACATCTGTGAATGTTTCAATAATTAAAAGGAGACAAGGACTCTGGCTGGAAAGAATGGCATATATGTATGTATTGAGATGGAGTCTTTCTCTGTCACCCAGGCTGATGTGATCTCAGCTCACTGCAACTTCTGCCTCCCTGGTTGAAGCAATTCTCCTGTCTCAGCTTCCTGAGTAGCTGGGTCTACATTACAGGTGTGAGTCACTGCACTGGGCATTTTTTTTTTTTGAGATGGAGTCAGAGTCCGGACCCAAGACAGCCTCACTTCTCTCCATTGAGGCGGGGGAGAGGCGAGGCCATAAAGAGGGAAATGAGATAAGGATAGGAAGCAGCAGAGGATATCATAGTGTGGACTTTAGAGTCACACTGTCTGGGTTTGAGTCCAGCTCCACCTCTTACCAGTTGTGTGACCTTGAGTAAGTCACCTAACCTCTCTACACCTTATTCCCCCAAGTGAAAAATGAGAATAACAATGGTACTAAGTCATAAAGTTGTGAGAATTAAACAAGTTGATAAGGTGGTTGTGTTCAGCATATTATGCAAATGAATGTTTGCTACTTCTGGAGGAGGCACAGCGGGGAAAAATGCCCTAGATGGATGTAGCTGCCAGCAGTGGAAGCTATTGGTGCAAAGGTGCAGAGCAGATTGGAGCGTGCCTGTGAAGCGGCATTGTTGTCTGGGGTAAGTACCTGAAATTTGTTGTCTCATGGCCATAGAAAACTAGGATGCAGACCCAAAGAGTGAAGTTCAGAGCAGAAGTCTGATAGGTGAAAGAGAAGAGCTCTTTGCAGCAGAGAGGGGTCCCAGGGAAATGGGTTGCTGCTTCTGCAGTGAAATGCAGAGGGTTTTATAGATGAGCTTGAGGAGATGGTGTCTGATTTATATAGGGCACAAAAGATTGGTTGGACCAGGTGTACCATTTGCACAGGGTGTGAAAACTGGTTAGGGCTAGGTATGTCATTTACATAGGGTATGAAAACCTGGCCACCCTCACCCTAATCTTTTATTATGCAGATAGATTCTCCACCTGGCCAGAGCCATGTTTTTTTTTTTTGAGATGGAGTCTCACTCTGTTGCCCAGGCTGGAGTGCAGTGGCTCACTGCAACCCCCACCTCCAGGTTCAAGCAATTTTCCTGCCTCAGCCTCCTTAGTAGCTGGGATTACAGACATACCTGACTAATTTTTGTATTTTTAGTAGAGATGGGGTTTTGTCTTGTTGGCCAGGCTGGTCTTGAACTCCTGACCTCAGGTGATCCACTTGCCTCAGCCTCTCAAAGTTCTGGGATTACAGGCGTTAGCCACCGTTTGTGGCTGCCTGTTTCTTTACTGTACACGTGGTGACAAAGAAAAAGGAAGATGGAGCCTCCGTGTTGAATATACCTGGACCCCAGGTAGCCCTATTCTACTGCCACAGCAGCCAGCATTCACCCGTGCAAGCTTCTGGCTTGCTTATCTGTGTTAACAGCTTGATTTTTCAGGTTACTTTTTGTTAGAAAAGAAATGATTTTGGGACTGTTTTTTGTTAAAAGGGAAATTCTAGGAAGAAATGCTAGAAATATATATGTGTGTGTGTGTGTGTGTGTGTGTGTGTGTGTGTATGTATATATGTATACATATATATATATATATTTTTTTTTTGAGATGGAGTCTTACTCTGTCACCAGGCTGGAGTGCACTGGTGCAATCTCAGCTCACTGCAACCTCTGCCTCCTGGTTTCAAGCGATTCTTCTGCCTCAGCTCCTGAGTAGCTGGGACCACAGGCACGTGCCACCACGCCCAGCTAATTTTTGTATTTTTAGTAGAGATGGGGTTTCACCATGTTGACCAGGATGGTCTCCATCTCTTGACCTCGTGATCTGCCCATCTCGGCCTCTCAAAGTGCTGGGATTACAGGTGTGAGCCACCTCGCTTGGCCTAGAAATATATTCTTTTTTTTTTTTTATTATTATTGCATTTTAGGTTTTGGGGTACATGTGAAGAACATGCAAGATTGTTGCATAGGAACACACATGGCAGCGTGATGTGCTGCCTTCCTCCCCATCGCCTATATCAGGCATTTCTCCCCATGCTATCTCTCCCCAACTCCCCACCCCCCGCTGTCCCTCCCCAATTTCCCCCCCACAAACCCCAGTGTGTGATGCTTCGCTCCCTGTGTCCATGTGTTCTCATTGTTCAACACCCACCTGTGAGTGAGAACATGCGGTGTTTGATTTTCTGTCCTTGTGTCAGTTTGCTGAGAAGAAATATATTCTTAAGATATATTTCTCTCTCTCTATTTCTATATAGATATATTTATATTTAATATTATATTTACATATATATATATTTTGAGATGGAATTTCACCCTTGTTGCTCAGGCTGGAGTACAATGGCACCATCTTGGCTCACTGTAACCTCTGCCTTCCAGGTTCAAGCGATTCTTCTATCTCAGCCTCCCGAATAGCTGGGATTACAGACATGCGCCACCATGCCTGGCTAATTTTGTTTTTTTTTAATAGAGATGGGGTTTCTCAATGTTGGTCAGGCTGGTCTCGAACTCTCTACCTCATGTGATCTGCCTGCTCAGCCTCCCAAAGTGCTGGGATTACAGGCATAAGCCACCACACCGGCCCATATTTGTATTAACCTCTATCTATCTATATCTATTTCTTAAGAAATATATCCTTAAGATATATTTCTAGGAAGAAATGCCAGCCAGACAGGTTCAAAATGTATGGGCATTTTTTTTATGCCAACATTGCCTGGTATCTCTCATGAAAATGTATGGGCAATTTTAAGGCAGATACACATTGTCAAACTGGTTTCCCAAAAGGTTGAATCAATTCAAGTTTCTTTAATTGGGTATCAAGTCTCCTAAACTCACCCCACCTCTAAGCAAATTTGTTTTTCCTGGGCCTCTGGGCTTGTTTTCTTTTGGATTTCCTCTAGCAGTGGTTCAGACCTCAGGAAGGGAGTGGATTCTGGCAGGAGAACAGGCTTGGTGGGCGATTTCCCTAATGTTTGCTCCTGTGGGAATCTCAGAGCCACCCCCCTCGCTCCGATGATTTCAGTCACTTCCAGTCATTAGGTTGAAGGCCTGTCTTGTTACTGCTCACCACCTCCTACGCTGCGGCTGGCACTTGTACTGCAGTCCTTCAGAGAGGAAGAACAACCCGTTATTTGATAGTTTGCTGTTTTATAGGAAGCTAGGCACAATACTCAGCAAAGCCACAGATTCGCCCTAAGTGGCTGTCCCCTTCCAACTGTCATAATCCAGCCCTGATGTTCACCATCACTGGCAAAAATCCCTTCCAAATGGGAACACCTCTCCCTATGTGAAATTGATGCTGGTTAAGGGCCTACTGATGAGTATCATATGGCTCAGTCCCGGCCTGTTAAGATTTACAGATATTTGTTATCACCCACATTCCAGGGAATTCGTTGACATAAGCCTCAACTATTTTGAAAGAGCATTCTGCCTTGGGATGCTGCATTGCTTTTAAACTTGTATCTATATAAGGCAAGAATTATTTGCACACTCAATGGTAAGATTTCCATCCATTCAACATTTAAAGTAAAAAAGTAGCTGCCTCCCACTGTTCTGAGGATAAAGAGCTACAACCTCGCCATGAGCCACAAGCCTGTCTGGTTTCCTCTCCTGAGAACTCTCCCCTCGAGCGTCCTTGACGTTCTTTCTGGCTCTCAAACACAGCATGTTCCCTTCAGGGCTTTTGCATGTGCCTAGAATGGTCTCCTTCCTCCTGGAAATCGCTCCTGACTCAGCACATTCCACTCCAGCACCCTCCTTTGTCCAGTCTTACTGGAATCCTTTAGAGGAACTCCAAAACTCCATCTGCAGGCGAGGCTGCCCTGATGCCCCAGATGAGGTCTGGACTCTGGTTTATATTATCATATTATCACAGCATCTGGTGGTTTTGCCTGTGATGCTTTGTAGTTTGTAATTTTATGGTTATGTGTGTCATCAGAGTTGAATGTCTGTCTCTCTCATTGGTCTATGAGGTCTAGGCAGGAAGGGACGGCTTTTTCTTATCACCAAAAGTGTGTGGTCACCAGAACAATGCCGGCCAGATAGGTGCTGAATTGAGGCTTGCAAATGAGTAAATGGATACCGACATCCTGTGGCTAGTGGCTGGGTGGGGATAGTGCGGTCACTGAGTGTCCTGGCATGCAGTTTTTTGTTTTTTTATTTTGCAGGGGGATATATTATTTCTCATGCCATTTAAGAGTGCTTCTCAGGGTGGAGGCTTTGAGACAGATGGGTGGATTTTCTTAACCTACTAGTGGTAAGACTTCTTAACTACCTTGG